TGCTGAGCAATATCACCACCTCATCCTGAACATCGGCATTACAGCGAGGTACCAGACAAACAAAGCGTTCGTTTTTTGCCTTTCTGCAAAGGTAAAACTTTCTAGTATTCTCAGTTTGAGAATTTTCTAATAAAATATGTATAAAAACGAGTTTGTTCTGTTTGCAGGATTATTTCGTTAGGAATTTACGAATCTCTCCGGATGCTTCGGTGCTGGATGTTGCTGGTGGCACCGGTGATATTGCTTTTCGTGCTGTACGACAAATACAGGCCAGGTTTGTTGACTAGTTGCCTTTCTTATTTTCCATTCCTTTTTTCGTACTTTCTTGTACTTCTACGCACTTACTTACCTTATCTTCATCTTCTGTTTGTCCTGTATTTTTCCTCTTCATCATCACATTCTGCTTTTCCTACCGTTTTCTTTCACTCTCCTTTTGATTTATTGCTTTTCCATACAATTAACTTATTTAGTCTCCCATCTTACCTTTTTTAAAAAACTTTTTACCAGAGTCTTCGTACTGACGAGGTCCAATTGTAGTAAAGGCAAGAAATGTATACAACTTAATGGACCGAAACATTTTTTTCCTAATTTAATAATTCTTTTCATTTTTTCCATCATTCTTTCTTATATTTTTCCTTTAACCTTAAATTGACTCACTCAGTTCAGTATTTCACTTCATAACTACCGTTATCCATGTTGTTTTTATTCAGCAGAGGCACCGGCTCAGTGACAGTTTGCGATATCAACAAAAATATGCTGAATGTTGGCCAACAGCGCGCTATAACTGATACATCAGTTTTGAAAGGTTTGCATATTGAAATCAAATTGCGCCAAAGATCAAATCTGCCCTATGCATCCGCTCTGTCTGGAAGACGGAATTATTCGAAAGTAGCTCGATTGATAACAGATGCGGACGCAATCACCCGCTGGCAAGATTGCCAGTGATTATCTCTTTCGAACATAGGTGAATCCGGGGCATACTCCCGGGGTTAGAAGGGGATTGAAGGTTCCCGGGGGAGGGGTAGGGGGGGCGGATGGAGGGAGGCTCCTGGGAGGTGGCAACGGCGGTGGAAAGGAGAGTCCCCTCCCACTTTAGGCTTTAGTCTTA